ACCTACTCTTCTGGTAACTCTTGGTTCACATATTGCTGAAGTTTAGTTTGCAGAATCTTAAGCACAATTTTACTGGCATGTGAAATGAGTGCAATTGTTCAGTAATTTGAACATTTCTTGGCATTGCCCTTCTTTAGGACTGGGATATAAACTCATCTTTCCCAATTCTGTGGTCACTGTTGAGTTTTCCAAATTCACTGGCATATTGAGTGCAGCACTTTAACAGCATCACTAAAACATATGGAATGTAGCTAAAGCAGATCTTAGGGGAAATATATCTCTAAACATAGTCCTCAATAAAAGAGAAATAAATCAATGAACTGAACATACAATTAAAAAGACTTAACAAATCAATAAATTCTCAACTAAGCAACAAAGTAGAAATTCCAAAAATTAGAGATTATAAAACTGAAAGCAGCAAGAATTGATAAATTAAACTAGGAGACAGTTTTTTGAAAAAAAAAAAAACAAATAAAATACAATTAGGTCATCTGACTTTAAAAAACAGAAAGGAAAACCCAAATGTTTAGAAAAAAATATAGAAGGAGACCTCAAAACAATGTTAGAGGAAATAAAGGAAATTTTTAGAATTTATTTTTCCCATTATAAGCTAACAAAGCTGATCACTTAGAGCAAATGAATTAATACAAATACATAAAATCTCTAAATTAATAAAACAGACTATTTAAATAATCGACATCAGAAAAAGAAATTGAACAACCCATAAACCCCCAAAGGGGAAAAAGAAATATTTTATTAATTTACAGAAACATTTACAAACAAATTCTATCTAACATTAAAAAAATAATTTCAGTGCTACACAAACTACTTGCAGTAATATTTCTGGAAACCTTTCAGTCTTTTCCAAAGCAGAGAAAGAAAATTACAAATTAATATCCCAAAAGGACACTGACACAAAAACTTTAAATAAAATAAAATATTAGCAAGTAGGCTACAATGACATATTAGAAATATTGTGCACCACGATCAGATTGGGTTTACACCAGTGTTGGTTCAAAGTAAGACTATAAATATAATAAATCATGTTAATAATATAAATAACAAAAACCATATAATTAAATCAATAAATGCAGAAAAGATGTTTGACAAAATCCAACACCAATTTCAATTAAAAATTCTAGAAAGCATAGGAATAAATGAACCTTTTCTTAACATAGTAAATAATATCTATATAAATCCAAGAATAAACATTATATGTAACTGTAAAAAGAGTAAGATCAAGAGTAAAAGAAGGACATCCATTATCACCACTACTATGTAACACAGAATACTAGCTCTAGAATAAGACATGAAAAATCTAAATGAACAAAAGGAAAGAAAAAATTATCACTTTTTGCAGATAAAATTATTTCCCTAGGAAACCCTAGAGTCAAACAAAAACTAAATGAAACAATAATATCAAGAAAGTTGCAGAATATAAAATAAATTCATACAAATCATCAGTTTTCCTGTATCAGAAACAAAACTAAGCCAGCAGAAATAGAAATAGAAACTCCACTTAAAATAACTACAAAATATTTGGGTGTATATTTACCAAGATTTACCCAAGAACCTATGAATCTAATAATAAAACATTCTTTAAAGAAATATAGACCCAAATGATTGGAAAAAATATTAATTGCTCACAAGTAGATTTATAATAAAAAGGCAATACTATCTAAATTTATTTATTTATTCATTCAGTGTCGTACCAATCAAACTTTCAAAGTAATATTATAAAACGTTAGGAAAAATAATAATGAAATTCATATGGATGAAAACAAAAAGTCAAGAATCTCAAGAATAATAACAAAAAAAAAGTAGGAAGGAAGATCCATTAGCACCAAATCTTAAATGATACTACAAAGCAGTAACTGTTAAAATGATCTGGTAGTGGTTAAAAAATAAGTATATCAGTAGAAGAGATTATATACTCAGCATACAGAAGCAAATAAAAATAGTAGAATAGTGTTCAATAAACTAAAGACCCCCACTTACTGAAAGGTCTCATTATTTGAGTGCTTTTGTATTTGACTGCTGTAAAAACTGAAAAACAACTATTGGACATAAATTAAGTTTAGACTAATACCTCACACCATATATCAAGCTAAGTTCCAAATGTATATACGACCCAGATATAAAAGGTCGTATTATGAATAAATTAGAGGAGTAAGGAAGGAATTACCCTTCACCTCTATGGATACAGACTAAACAAGTAATAGGGAGGATCACAGAAAATACAATGGGTAATTCTGATTATATAAAATTAAGAAGGTTTTGCATAAACAAGTCTGATATAATTAGAATTAATTAGAACAGAAACACTTAACTGAGAACAAATCTTATAGCAAACTTTTCTTATAAAGGACTCATATCTAACAGATATATGGAATCAATTCAAAATTTTAAAACTAATCCATTACCCAATAAATATCAATGTTTGGATATAATCTAAGCTATCAACAAATGTACGAAAAACATTTTCTAAATTGCTAATAATCAGAGAAAAGCAAATTAAAATAACTTTGAGGTTCCAACTCACACACAACAGAATGGTAAAGATATAAGAGGAAAATTACTGGAAGGCCTGTGAGAAAGGAGGCATACTAATGCACAGTTGGTGGAGTTGTGACTTGTTCTGCAAAGTAATTCAATACTATGCTCTCAAAGTGGTAACTTTGCAAACTATGTATAGTCACTGATCCATCTATACCACTTTTAGGCTTATACCCCACCTCACCCCACCCCACCCCAAAGAGATTAAAAGAAAGAGGAAATGGACCTACATAGACAAAACTATTTACAGCAATTATTTACCTAGTAGCTGAAAACTGAAAAGAAAGGGGCAGGAGTTATCCCATTGGAGAATGCCTAAATGAATATAATGGAATATTATGTCAGAAGAAATGATGAAATGGACAATTTCAGAGGAAATTAGGAAGATGTCCATGACAACAGCAAAGTAAGCAGAATGGTGTCTGGCACATAGGAGGCACAATAAATGCTATTTGATTTGACAAATTTGATTTGATTTATTTCACAGTAACATTGTAAAGAGAAATCACTTTGAAAGACTTTAGAACTCTGACCGATGCAATGAAAAAACACAAGTCCAAAAGACTGAAAATGAAACAAGCCACTCAGTTCCTGCCAGAGAAGTGATGAACTTAAAATGCCACGAGACATATATTTTTGGATGTGGACAATGTAAGAAATTTGATTTGCCAGATCACGAACATTTGTAATGAGGGTTTCTTTCTTTTAATTTAATTAGTTGGGAAAAAGAAGTGAGAGGGACAGATTATAAATTCATGCAAAAATAAAATGATTTTAAAAAGTAGTGGATTGGTTCTATTCTGAGGGTTAAGAGGGTAAAGAGAAGGAAATGCAAAAGGAAACCACTATTATAGAAAAAAGGAAGGGGAGAGAACTGGCTATTTATCACAATTGGGTTGAGTGAGAGGAAAAGTTTTACAAACATGAAGCAAGAGGTGGGGGAAGCCAGCATCAGATGAATTGTACTCTTACCTGAAATAAACAAAGGAGGGTTGAACATACATATATATAGTTTGGTATAAAAATACATCAAACCCAACAAAGAATCAAGTGGTGATAGGGATAAGGAAGTTAAAAGGGAGAATACTGAAGGGGAAGGAATAGCCCCCAGCAAAATATACTTTACTATTCTGAAGGAGGGGTTTAAAAAGAAAACAAATAAATAACAAGAATCCAAAGAAGTGAATTTCAATTGGGGAATGGCTGACTAAATTGTGGTTTATGAATGTAATGGAATATTTCTGCATGGTAAGAAATGATGAAAAAGATTTCAGAGAATCCGGGATAGGATGAATTGACATACAATAAAGTGAGTTGAATCAGGAAAAAAACTTACACAGGGACAACAATACTGTAAAGAAAAACAACTCTGAGAGCCAACTAAGAGCCAAACAACAAAATGAACTGCACCTCTAGGAGGCCTAACATGCAACATGCTGTTCACCTTGTGACAGAAAGCTAAGAGACTCAACGTGCAAGAGAAATATTTTTGAATATGGCTATTGTGTAGATTTGTGCTTGACTATGCTTTTTTGTTATAAAGGGTTTTTTTTTCTCCTTTCTCAAGGGAGTTTTTTTAATTGTGGAGGAAGGTCAGAAAACAAAAGACCAATGAAACATTTTTTTTTAATTGTATGGAAGAGATCAGAACGGAGTGCAGAAGAAAGCACAGACAAGCAAAACAGTTCTCAAAGTAATGTGTAGATTTTACCATAACTTTTAAAAAAAAACAAGCAGTATGAAATGGAGATTCAAAGTTTCAGATATAATTCTTCCTTTTGTGTTATGTCTATGGAAATGATTTTTTTTGTGTTTAAGTTCAAAATAAAATTTTTTTAAAAACCATATATTGAATAATAATTCTTTTAAAAACATATGTTTATACATATCTATATTTATTTCCCATTATTTGTAAATGCATGTATATTTAATTTATGTGTGTACTTCTATGGGCATATATTTAATTGATATGTGTATGAATGCAAGGATACGTGTAAGTATATATAGATTTAAGAACACATACGCTTATGTTATCTATTTCTATGTATATCTACCTATTGGATAGATAGATAATTTTGGAATTAAAACCCTATGTGTTATTTCATAATTGGGCACTAAATAAGTAGACATGTTATCCACTGTTCATACCTCTTAAATCGTTCCTCTCTGATCAACTGAGACTCAATTTTCAACGGAACAAGTCAAATTATGCTCTTTTCTTCAGTGCTCTATAAAATATATCTTGCTTATCTAAAAAGCTTGACTTATCTGGAAGACTCTCTGATATTGAATACCTCTTTCCCTGATGTTATCAGATAAATGAGATATTACTATGGTAAAGGAGAACTGAAATTTGGATAAATGATTTTGCTCTGATAGTACTACAGTATTTTTTATAGCAACTTCCAATATAGAACAGTTTAGGAAGTAGGTTCACAACTTACCATATCATTTTTGTTTTCCATAAAAATGCTAAGTTTCTTTAGGAAAGACACCACCAGAATTAGGAGTTCAAAATTATCTCGATCAAGTGCCTTCACTAGCATATGAACTATGTTCTTGTTCCTCATTTTCAGCTCAGTCCGAGTATCCTCAGCAAGGTTCAAAAGCAAATAAAGAGCAACTAGAAAAATAAAGGTAACTGGTCAGAGTACTGGATTGACAAGAGTTTTTCAAAACATAATTTCTTCCTATAAACCAAAGTTCTAAGGGGAGATGAGCATTATTTTCAGTCAATTTTGTTAGTTAATAATTAAGGGTAGATAAGTCAGAAAAAAATTGTAAAATATGCAGATGTGAAAATAGTAATTATTGGAGATCTGAGAAAGCAAGGCAAGTTATTTATTATGTGCTTTCTAATACACTAAGGTTGCTATTCTGAAGCTAGTTAAAATGAAAAATGTGCCTCCAAATTTTGTGAGAAAGAAATCATTTTTTCTCATTCAAATTGCTACAATAAATCAATAAATGTTAATGAAGGCCTAAAATATAAGAAAGTTTAAAATAGGTTATTTCATCATAATTTTCAACACATCACTTAAATATCTGATTAACATTGTGGCATGTTAAAAGTTAAAAATTCAATTTAGGTCTGTTAAACTTTTATATAAAAACATTAGAAATTAATAAATAGATCCCTTAAGACTAAGATAATTTATTGATCTCTCATGCCTCTTTCTAAAAATTCTATTTAAAGCCCAACTTCTGAAAAAAATGTGATCAAAGTGCTTCTTGAACAATTAGGACAAATTATGCAACTTCTGTTAATGCTCAGAGATTTAAATGGTTTTGTAAAATGTTGCTATGTGACTATAACAAATTACCTCTATGTAATACAGTTTTTAATGGGCAGGTAGGTGGCACAGTAGATAAAGCACGGGGCCTGGAGTCAGGAAGACCTGAATACACTTACTAGCTATGTGACCCTGGGCAAGTCATTTGACCTTATTTTCCTCAGTTTTCTCATCTGTAAAATGAGCTGGAGAAGGAAATGGCAAACCAGTCCAGTATCTTCTCCAAGAAAACCCCAAATGGGGTTACTAAGAGTTGGATGTGACTGAAAATAACTGAACAACAATAAAAACATAGGAACTAAAACTGCCAGATTTCAGTGTGTTGATCAAATAAATACTTAGGACCATAATACTAATAATACATAATACTAATACTGTAGATAACCAATGGCTATCTACAATATGGAGCTGAACATCCATCAAAGAGTATCATTTCATTCTTGCTAATAACCATCTTCAGAGTTTTAGTCTTAAACAAGGATCCAGAGATTCTAAGTTCCAGACTCTGTTTATGTTTATTTTATACTATCAAAAAAGTCCAGAAACATGAGAGTACTGTTCTTAAATCAAAGAAATGCTCAGATTTATTTATTTATTTTAACTATCTATCTATCTATGTTTTTGCAATTTCATCTATGGAAAACAGTAACCTTTTATGTTGGAAATTAGATGAAAGGTATTTTAATATTAGGAAAAACATCTCTGAAAAGTTATGTTTGAGATATTTGAGCTCTAAGTATATATAAACTTTAATATTTAGAGTGCTATATTGATGAAAATCCAATGCAGGTAACTGAGGAATAGAAGGGGAATTGATGATTGCTTAAACAACCAACTAACTGGAAATAAACAAGGTAAGGATAGGCAATGAGAAGGCTTATATTATATTGAAATGTATAACATTTTCTATTAATTTTGGATTTAGCTTTTGTAAGATGATGAAAACCAGAACAAATGAATACATCTATAAAGTAAATACTTTTTTCCTTTTTACGGATTAGGAATCCGTACCTCGTAAGAGCTGTTCCTGCTTTACCACCAAACCTTGGTACTTCTTATAGGTTTTTTCATAATCTTTTTTCATAGTTTGGTTTTCAGGGTCTTCTTCAAGTAAAAATATCAAGTTAAGGATCACATTATATTCATAAAAGCAGAGAAAACCTATTGAAAAAAGTATTCAAAATTGCCATACTCACATATTCCTATGTTCAATCACATAGAACTTTATTCATTAATTCTGAACAAACACATACCCGTAGAATGTGAGTCTCTTGTGGGCAGAGACTGTTTCATTTCTGTCTTTATAGCCTCAACACCTTACATGATGCTTATTAATTACACCTTCAATTAAAATACATCATTAAAAAGCTACACAGTGTCCAAAAGCTCACTTAACATAAAATTAAGTAATAACTAGAGACAACACATGAACTTATAACAAGATTGGTTAAACACTGTACTACAGACAGGAATGTTTACCACAGTTCTCCTTCAAGTTTATCAGAGCTTCTGATTTAAATAAGGTCCAACTTTCAATGTTAGAGGGCCAGGCCTAATGTTTTGTGAAATGGACAAATTTTGACACCTCTTTTGGAATGAGTAGCATTGAATATATTTTAGGGTTGGAAAAGACATGGGTTGAAAAGGTCTTCTGCACATAAAGTACACTATCACTAGCACACAGTAGTCATACAAAAACAACTCTGCCCACTCCCATAGGGCAATGTGTTTGGAACAGGTTCAGGAAAATAGAAGAGATACAATATGTGAGACAATATTCTATTAACGATTGGTCATAATGGTATGAAATCCTCAGAAACGACAGTTGTTAACCAAGAAAAAGTAAACAGGAAAATAAATTCTTGAGACTCACAGAAGAAATAAAAAGGGATTTTGGCATATTACCAAGACTGAGACCAAGAAGTTTCACCCACGGCTGATATTGATAGGAAGCTCTGCTGCTACTGCTATTTAACCTCAACCCCCCAAATCCCTATCCTCACTTCCTATTTATTGTCCACAACTACTAGTCTACAAGAGCTACTGCCAATGAAGCATTCTTGGATATCTAGACCTGTATGGACCATGGGCATCTCAAACTCAATGCATCCAAAACTAAACTCGTCATTTTTCCCACCAAATATATGCCTCTCCCAAATTTCCCTATCACTATTAAGCATGCTACAACATTCCCAATTGATCTCAAACTTGGTGTCCTTCTTGATTCGTCTTGCATTCAACTCTACACATCCTCTCTGTTGCCATGTCTTATTGTTTTTACTTTTATAACATTTCTCACATACATCCCCTTCTTCTGACTCACACAGAGTTATAGACGCTCATCATTTCATGACTGGACTATTACAACAGGCTTCTAACTGCCTCTGTACCTCAAGCCTCTCCCCACTTTAATTCATCCTCCATTTGGCTACCACAGCGATCTTCCTGTAGTAGAGTCAGTCGGCTGGCCAACAAGCACTTTTGAAGCATGCCAACTACTGCACCAAATGCTGGGAATACAAATTCAAGTAGGAAAAAAAGGACAATCCTTGATCTCAAGGAGCTTACATTCTAATAGGGGAAGACAACACATAAACAAAATCTGAAAAGTTTGTGTGTGTGTGTGTGCGTGCGTGTTTGTGTTAAGGGGGGAAGTACCCTGCCAAGAGGCAAGGGAGAGGAAGTCCCGTATGCAGTTCTATGAGGACTGAGACATGTTTGGCCAGGGCACTCTTCCATAAATGGAGGTTCTGGGAGGAGCCATCAATCAGAGAAACAAGGCAATTCCAATATATGAATTCCAAGGTTGAAGTAAAGCTTCAGGAAGAGAAGCTGGGGCACAGTACAGGAAGTCCTGAGTGCAGCCTGGAGAGGAATAACCATATCACTCCATAATCAATAAACACAAATGACTCCTTGTTACTTCTAGGATCTAATATAAAACATTCTGTTTAACATTTAAAGCTCTTCATAATGTTGCATTTTAAAATCATTGTATCCAGTCTTACACTTTACTCCGCTATTTATATTTTATGATCCAGCAATATGTGCATTATTTGCTATTCCTCACACATGACATCCCATCTCCATTCCTTTTTAATGGCTGTCCCTCATGCCTGGAATGCTCTCCCTTTTCATCTTTTCCTACTGGCTTCTCTGACTTCTTTCAGGACTCAGCTCAAACTCTACTTTCGGCAGGAGATCTTTCCCAGCATTCCCAATCTCCTCTACCTTATAAGGCTTTCCCTCTGAGACTATTTCATCTACTCTGTATATATTTTGTATGTACATAGTTGTCTGCATGTTTTCTCTCACTGGAACATAAGCTCCTTGAAGGCAGAGATATTTTAAACCATTCTTTGTATTCCTAGCAGGCAGGATAGTACTTCCTACATAGTGTATATAATAAATGTTTGTTTATCAACAGTACTATTGCCTCTTGGATAGAAGAGCAGGTCCACAGCCTCATTGTAGGAATGGAAGTAGATGTGTTTTTGGCATCCTAAATTAGAACTCTAAATGAATTTTCCATTGGAAAAAATGTCATAAAAGTGGTTTGCTCTAATGAATTCCAAGTTCCAACCACCTCACATACAAAATCTTTGAACACAACAGGCTGTCTATATTGTCCATTTGGTTAGTGAGTATCTTAGCTAATTCTGGCAGCCACACTTTGAGAAAGCAGTGACTAAATAGAGAGCATTCAGGTGACAGCAATACAGAGAGAGACACTGTCATGAAGGGACAATGAGGAAGCTGAGGATTCATTCATTCATTCATTCATTCAGTTATTTGTCATGAAGAAAGGCATCTTAAAATATGTGCATGGCTAGCATGTAGATGAAGATTTGTTGTGTGTTACTCCAGAGAGAAAACTAGAATCAAGGGTTTAAGTTATAGGGAAACAAATTTCAATTTGATACAACAAAGAACTTTTTAGCATAACTATTTATTCTGATATTTTCCCTTTTACCTTCTTTGAGTAAAAGTACTTTATTAACGCTGTATCACCAATATGACCAGACAAAAAATTTTCAATGTATCTACTGCAAAAAGCTACAGTCTTCAGACTGAACTCTCATTCTGAAAGGATATCAGCTTTCTTCTTCTTAGAAAGTTCCTCTTGCCAGAGTTCATGTCTCTTCAGTTCATGATCAATTATATTCATACACAGAGCTCCAATTTTATAGTGAGTGATTAGCCCATGAAACTGAGAAAAACTACATTAAAAGGAAAGATGTATGTATGTATTTATAGAAATAGGTGCATTTCAAGCTTGAGGCAACAGGTTTTAGGTACACAGTAAAATAAAGTAATATACACTATACTATGAGATAATATTTTTATAAATGAATATATACACATTACACATTGAAGACCTGAAATCTGTAAGACTTTATTGCTCTCAGAATTGACATTCTTTAAGTTCTTATAAAATGATTAAAATTTAAAGCAAAAAAAATAGAATTACTCACAACATATTTTTTAATAATTGTGACTCTAGTAGCCATTCACTAAGCTATCCTCAAAGACAATTTTCAGAAAGCTACTTAGCAAGACTAATCACGTCACAATGTTTGAAAGCCACTTTATCACATAGACTATAACTTCCAATATCTTCCTGTTTACTAAATGAACATTTATTGTTTATTTTCTACAATGTACTATGTTAGAATGATAAAAAAAAACAAAACTGCAATACAGGAGAGGCACTTAACATTAGTTTCATAATTCTTGTCCTTACCTGGAAAAGCAGAAGAAAATATATATTATGTTAGTAGCCAATTCCACACTTTGCTTCCAGTCTTCTCTCAATACTCTGGCTAATGCACCAAGGGCAGTTTCTGATGAAAAAAATTTCCAAAGAACAATTATCTACTTCATCTCTAGTACAATGTACAACGTGACAATTTCACCTATTAAAATCAGGCTAATATGTTAGAATTGGGGAAAAAGATGATAGAAAGCAAGTCTTTGTTTTTAGCCACAGAAAATATGTTCAATAAATTAAATTCCATAAAATGTAAAACTTCACAAAAATACATTAAGAACGTAAACATAAAATAAGGACTCCCTTTATTTATATGTTATAAAATTTTGCCAAAATGGAAGTTCAGTTCAGGAGCCTGGGGTGTGTAGCTTATGAATGTCTTCCCATTTTTGAAACTAAGTTTCTGTGGACTCCAAGTCCAGTAAAAGGGACCTCCCTAATCAATTAAGGGAATTCATTCTACCTTTGGACCCCTTTAATTCTTTGTTAAATTTTCTTTGTATTAAACTTAAATCTGCCTCTCTACAGCTTCCTCTTGTTGCTCCTAGCTCTTTTACCCTTTGGAGACAAACTGAACAAGCCTTCACAATACAACTGCTCAAATACCTTAAGACAGAAATCATTTCTCACCCCTCCACGCATGTATTTCATTTTCCAGCCTAAATTTCCCTAGTTCCTTTAAGAAATACTCTTATGAAATGGTTCCAGGCCACTCACCATCCTGTTCACCCCCCTCTGGGTACAATCTCTTTTTTTAAAAGACCTTTCTAAAATGTGATAACCTGAACTCACTGAAATATTCCGGAGGTGATCTTACCAGGGAAAAACGCAATGGGACAATTACATTATCAGGAGGCAGCTAGGTGGCTCAGTGGATAGAACCAGGGCCTGGAGTCAAGAAGACCTAAGTTCAAACGGGCCTCAGACACTTCCTAGTTGTGAGACCCTGGGCAAGTCACTCAATCTCTGTTTGTTTTAATCCACTGCCGAAGGGAAATGGCAAGCCACTCCAGTACCTTTGCCAAGAAAGCCCCACACAGAGTCATGAAGAGTTGGACATGACTGAACAACAATGGTAGAAAGGGCCAGGCTGTTGCCAAATAGAGGATTTCATAGTCAATCCTATAGGTAATTGGAAGTTGGTATTTACCGGGGGGGCAGGGTGTTAAAAATCGTCAGTAATATGTTCTATTTTTTCCATTTAAAAAATTCAATTTTATTTTATTTTCATTTCCAAATTCTCTCCTATCCCCAGCCCCTCCCCTACTTATTGAGGCTAGAAAAATGCTCATTAAAAATATACATACAAAATACTCATACAAAACAAGTTCCTTCATTAGTCATGTCAAAAAGAAAGAAAGAAAGAAAATCTGAGAAAGGAAAAGAAAAGAAAAGAAAAGAAAAGAAAAAAAGTTTTGATTTATATCCTGGTCCACTAGCATGTTTCATCATGAGTCCTTTGGAATTATGGTTAGTCACTGTGTTGATCAGAGTTCTTAAGTCTTTCAGAGTTGCTTCCTATTAACCTCTTTATCGATTTGGTCATGAACTCTTCCCCTATCCATAGATCAGAGAGGTGATTTCTTCCATGATCCCCTAATTTGCTCATGGCATCACTCTTTACATATAAATCATGTACCCATTTGGAGCTTATCTTGATATATGATGTATGATATTAGTCTATAGCTGGATTCTGCCAGATTGTTATACAGTTTCCCCAATACTTTCTGTCAAATAATGAGTTCTTGCCCCAATATCTGGGATCTTTCAGTTTATCAAACACCAGGTTACTGTACTCACTTGCTTCTATACATTGTGTGCCTAATCTATTCCACTGATCAACCTCTCTATTTCTTTCCCAGTCTCAAAGTGTTTTGAAAATTACAAATTCATAGTATAGTTTGAGATTAGGTATTACTAGGCCTCCTTCCTCACCATTTTTTTTATTGATTCCCTTAATATTTTTGACTCTTCCCTCTTCAGGTGAATTTTATTAATATTTTTTTCAAGGTCAAAGTAATTCTTTGGTAGTTTGATCAGTACAGCACTGAGTAAGTAAATTAATCTAGGCAATATTGTCATTTTTATTATATTGGCTTGGCCTTCCCATGAGAAATTAATACGTCTCCAATTATTTAGTTCAGCCTTTATTTGTATAATGATTGTTCTGCAATTGTGTTCATATAGCTCTTATGTGTTGTGTCTTGAACAGTAGACTCATGTGTTTTATATTATCTGTAGTTGCTTTAACTGAAATTTCTCTTTCTATCTTTTCCTGGTGGATGTCCTGGGTAATATACAGAAATGTCAATGGCTTGTATGTCTTTATTTCATATCCTGCAACTTTCCTGAAATTTTATAATTGTTTCAGTTAGTTTTTAGTTGACTCACTAAGACTCTTTAAGTAAAATATCTTATCTTCTACAAAAAGCGAGTTTTTTCTCTTTGCTTATGCTTATTCTCTTAATTTCTTTTTCTTGTCTTATTGCTATAGATAGCATTTCTAGTCCAATACTGAACAGTAATAATGACAATGAACTTGCTTCATTCCTTATCATTTTGGAAAAATACCTAACTTGTCCCTATTACATATAATGTTGGCTCTTGGTTTTAGGTGGATATTGCTTATCATTTTAGGGAAAGATTTGTTTATTCCTATGCTTTCTTGTGTTTTTATTGAGAATAGATGTTGTATTTTGTCAAAAGGTTTCTGCATCTATTGAAATAATGATCTTAGTTGCTTTTGTTATTAATACGTTCAATCATATCATTATTTTTGGGGGGGGGCCAGGCAATGGAGTTAAGTGACTTGCCCAGGGTCACAGAGCTAGTAAGTGTTATGTGGCTGAGGCTGGATTTGAACTCAGGTCCTCCTGAATTCCAGGGCCAGTGCTCTATCCACTGCACCACCTAGCTGCCCCTTTTAAATATTTCCCAATGACAAGGACACTTTTTTTTTTTTTTAGGCAACTGGAATTAAATGACTTGCCCAGGGTCATACAGTTAGTAAGTGTCAAGTGTTTGGTCTGAGACTGGATTTGAACTCAGGTCCTCCTGACTTCAGGGCCAGTGCTCTATCCACTGAGCCACCTAGCTGCCCCCCTTATTATTTTACTAATGTTGAAAAAGCCCTATATTTCTGGCATAAATCCAGCGTAGTTATGGTGTATGATCTTTGTAATATATTGTTATAATCTTCTTGCTAGTATTTCATTTAAGTTTTTTGCATAAGTGTTTATTGTGAAAATTAGGCTATAGTTTTCCTTCTCTCTTGACTCTCTGATTTAGATATCATGACCATATATCACATTTGTGTTATAGAAGGAATTTAGTTGGATTCCTTCTTTATTTTTTCAAATAGCTTATGTAATATTGGAATTATTAAGTAAATGTTCATGGAATTCACTTGCCAATCCATCTGATCTTTTATTTTTCCTTTGGGAGTTCATTTATGGCTTCTTCAATTTATTTTTCTAAAATATGATTATTCTATTTCTTGTTTGGTTATCTTAGAAAATTTTTTGTTTGTAAATATTTATACATTTCATTTAGATTGTCAGTTTTATTGGCATGTTGTAGGGCAAAACAACTCCTAATAATTGCTTTTATTTCTTCTTCAATGATTGTGACTTCACCTTTTTCATTTTTGATATGGCTAATTTGGTTTTCTTCTTTATTTAAATCAAATTTTCTAAATTATTTATTTTTAAAACTACTACTTCTATTTATTAGTTCAATGCTTTATTTTTTTAAACTTTCAATTTTGTTCATTTCACCTTTGTTTTTCAGGATTGCTATTTTGGTGTTTAAGTCAAGATTTTTAATTTGTTGGTTTTGTGGTTCTTTGCATGTCTAGTCCATTTGTTCAGAAATATAAAATTTCCCCTTTGTAGTACTTTGGATACATACACAACTTTGGCTACAAATTTTTAAATTTTGTCTCACTGCTGTCATTATCTTTAAGGAAATTATTAATTGTTTCTATGATATTTTTGATCTACTCATTCTTTAGGATGAAGTTAATTTCCAATTAATTTTTAATTTTTTAATCTTTTAATTTTTAATCTTTGCTTCAAAGGTCCTTTATTGAATATGATTTTTATTTCATTATGGGTAGTAAAAGTGCATTTAACATTTTTAATTTTCTGCATCTGTTTGTGAGGTTTTTATGCCCTAATACATGGTCAATTCTTGTAAAGGTTTTATGTACAGCTAAAAAATAGCTGAGAAATATACTCCTTTCTATTCCCATTCAATGTTCCCTACAAATCTACCATATCTAACTTTTACAAAATTCCATTCATCTCCTTAACTTCTTTTTTGTTTATTTTTAGATTAGATTTATCTAGATCTGAGAGGGGTAAATCCAGATCCTTCAATATCATAGTTCTACTCTCTATTTCCTCCAATAATTCATTAGCTTTTCCTTTAAGAATTTAGATGCTATGTCGTCTGGTGTATATATGTTTAGTATTAATTTTAATTCATTGTCTATGATATCTTTTAGCAAAATGTAGTCTTGTTTATCTCTATTAGGTCTATATTTACTTTTGCTTTGTCTGAGATGATTACTACTCCTGCCTTTTTTAACTTGGGCTGAAGAGTAACAAAATTTGATCTAGCTCCTATTTTAATTCTGCATCTGTTTCAAGTGTCTTTACTATAAACAATATATTATGGAATTCTATTTTTAATTTATTCTATTATCTTCTGTTTTATGGGTGAGGTAATCTATTCAAGTTCTACGGTATTTCTCTACATCCCATTCTCTTATATTTTCCCTTCTCTTTCTGTCCTCTGTCCTCTACTTAAGAGTCTGTTTTGCTTCTGACTGCTGCCTCCCTTAATCTATCCTTCCTCTTCTCTTATCCCCTCACTCTTTCTTTTAACTCCTTTCCCTTCAACTTCACTGCTGGGCAACCTATACACAACTGTGTGTTTGTATATCCTTCCCTCTTTTAACCAGATAGCTCCTGCCCTTCAGGAGCTCATGCCCTATTGGAGACAATAAATACACACAAACAAGCTATACTCCAGATAAACAGGAAATAATTAACAGAGGGAAAGCAGTAGAAATAATATGGGTTAGGAAAGGTTTCCTGTAGAAGTTGAGATTTTAGTTGGGACTTAAAGGAAGCCAGCAAAGGCAGAAGGCAGAGATGAGGAAGGGGAGCATTCCAGGCATGAGAGAAGCCAGAAAAAATGCTCAGGGCTGAGAGCTGGAACGTTTTGTTTGTGGAACAGATAAAGGGACAGTGTTACTGGATTAAAGAGTAGAACGTGTAAGAAAACTGGAAAGGTAGTAGCGGGCTAGATTATGAAGGGCTCTGAACACCGCAAGTAGTATTTTGTCCTACAGGCAATAGAGAGCTAATGAAATTTATTAAGCAGGGAGGTGACTTGGTCAGACTTCTGCTTTGGGGAAAAATCACTTTAGTGGCTGAATGGAGGGCAGATTAACATAAGGAGTGACATGGGGCAGGCAGACCCACCAACCACCTATTGTAATAACCCCGATGTAAGGTGATAAGGGCCTGAACTAGGGTTGGTGGCTGTATAGGTAGAAACAAGGGCACAAGAGACAATATAGAGGAAAAAAATTATGAGATTTGGATATGTGGAGTGTGCAAAGAGTGAGGAGTCAAGGATAATCCTGAGGTTGTGAACCTGGGTGACTAGAAGGATGATGGTACCCTTGACAGTAATAGTTTGGAGGAGGAAAGAGTTTGTGAGGAAAGATAAATTCTCTTTTGGAAATGCTGAGTTTGAAATGTCTATAGCACGTCCAGCTGAAAATGTCCAGCTAGTTGGTGATGTGGGGCTAGAAGTCAAGAGAGAGACTGCAGCTGGATAAGCAAATATGGGAATCATCTGAATAAAGATGATAACTGAACTCATGGGTGCTGATGAGATCACCAAGTGAGGGAGAAAAGAGAAGAGGGTCCAGGACAGAGCCACAGTTAGTGAACATAATGTGGAAGCAGATTCAGCAAAGAAGACTGAGAAGGAGCAGTCATATGGGGAAGAGGAAAACCACAATTATCACAAAAACCCAGAAAGCAGAGCACATCCAGGAGGAGAAAATAGTGTCAAATGCTGTAAAGGTCGAAAAGGATGAAGATTGAGAAGAGGGCATTAAATTTAGCAATTGAGAGAGCAACAGTGACTTTGGATAGAAAAGTTTCATCTAAATGATGAGGTCGAAGCCAGATTGCACATGGTTTGGAACAGAGTGAAAGTAGAGGAAGTATAGATGACTTTTTTAAGGAGCTTGGCTGAGAAGGGCAGGAGATGTATAGAATGATGCTAGGATCTATTGAGGATTTTTAAAAATGGGGACAAACATGGGCATGTTTATAGGCAGCAGAAAATAAGCGGTGTCAACAGCTTCCAGGAAAAAGGTTTGAAACAAGTTAAGCAATAAAGGGAATTAGGGTGGGCCCAGTTGAGATTAGCTAGCTTAAATCTATAGTGTACTCCAGAATTTTTTTCCTTCAGTTCTGTTCAACATGAGCAATAGGAGAGGTAGATAGAGACAGGGTTGAGGTTTGACAAAGTATAAAGAGTAAATGCAAGACAATATATAAAATCTTACTGTGCTTATCAATTATAAATTCAGCATTTAATTGAGCAAAATGGTAGCTTAAATGCTCTCCTTCAACACATCTCTTATGCATATGTCCAAATAATAAAAGATTTCTGAAAAGATATTACAACAGTCATAACTATTAAACTACTGAAGAGAAGAAGAGGTTCGATGTAAGGACCAACGCAAAGAGGAATTCTCCATAGATGGTAAACTCCTTGAGTTGTTCCTATTTTCCGATGAAATTGTGCTGATTTTTATCAAGACTGAGAAGCCTCCTAAGTGAGATCCATAATCATTTTAAAGAGTTTGGTCTCACTGTTACTGACACACAAGAAAAACCAAGGTGGTAACAAATCACCTTCTCTCAAGAACATGGTATATGGATGGAGAGACAGCCTATATAGCTTATCCATCAGTATGTGTACCCTGGACACATACTACAATTGGGCAGTGAGCTTAGTTGGCCTAAAACTGAACAAGAGAAGAGTTGGCTGGTTTGCCTTAGGAAACTGCCAACTTCTTTAAATGATCCTCAAACTTCTCTTTGAAACAAAGGCTAAACTTTCAAATGCCCATTTTCTTTCAAAGATAACATATTACTGTGAGTCATGGAATATTACAGTCTTTGAAGAACAACAGCTGAATATCACCCAAAGATCAAGTGAGAGGGGACTTGGATGTGTGTATGCTAGCGCACATTACAAAAACAAATTAGGAAAACTGGTATAAAAGATAGCATCTGAGAAATAAATGAATAGAAAAAATATGGATCAGTCACACAGAAAGGGAGAGATAATTGATGGATAGCTCATTTTCCATTGTTATCTATGCAAAGCCAAGAAAATGTAAAGAAAGTACACTGAATGGAAACCCCTTTGGTGAACTTATTAGAGAATATGGATGTGAGTTACACAAGACTGGTAACTATGGATGGGTTTTGATTTGTATCACTGAGATACACATTGAAAAAAAATCAAACCCCAATTGATAAATGATCAAATGATATAAACAGGCAGTTTTTAGAAGAAGAAATTGAAGCTATCTATAGTCATATGAAAATATGCTCTAAATCAAATTTATAAACTCTGAGGTATGACCTCACACCGAGAAAAAATGACAAATGCTAGATGGGATGTGGGGAAAATAGGCATAATAATAAACTGCTGGTGGAGTAGGGAGGTATGACCATTCTGAAGAATAATTTGGAACTATGCCCAAAGGGCTATAAAATTGTGCATACACTTTGACCCAGCAATAACACTACTAGGGCTGTATCCCAAAGAGATTAATGAAAAAAGAAAAAGATGTATAAGTACAAAAATATTTATGGTAGCTCTATTTGTGGTGGCAAAGAACTGGAAATCAAGGGGATGATCATCAACTGGGGAACGGTTGAACAAGTGGTGGCATACGATTGTGATGGAGTACGATTGTGCTATAAGAAATGACGAGGGGAGTGGTTTCAGAAAAACATGACAAGATCTACATGAACTGATGCAAAGTGAAGTGAGAAGAACTGAGTGATTATTGTGCACAGTAATAGCAACTGTAAAAAAGACTATTTGGCTACTCTGACAATATTTTGGAACAACTCTATTAAATGGAAGAATTATCAATAAAATCACAAGAGATTTAACTTTTACCATAACTAATACTTAAAAAATGCCTTGCACATAATAGGCCCTAAAGCAAACACCAACCTGAAATAACTTCAACTATCAAGCACTTCTGGTGAATGGAAAACAAGAATCTGGAATTCAGAGAATTAAAAAATACAGTAAACAAGCTAGTTTCATTTCTGTCTAAGAAAATATTAAAATTGTAACCAGAATAAAAATGTTTGTATGACTATTACCTTAGTAAGAAAAGGGATTTTTGAGAAGAGAAAAGATAACATTGAAGGCAACTCTTATTTTTCTGTGTGATTTAGATGTTTTATAGAGTCCACAGAGAATTTTTAAAATCAATCCACTATCATTATCTGCCATCAAGTGACCTCCTTGGATAGGCACATTCCTCTCAAATAGCACATATTCCAAGACATATATATTTTAATATTAGCCTAAATAAGATATCAGCAAGAAAATAAGTTAGCTGAAAATTACAATGTTTTCAAAAGCTAATTATGAGTGATTTCTGGATTATTCATGAAATTGATCCATCTATTATCATGGATAATCAAAAAATTGAGTTTTGTGACCATGAGTTTTTTGTTTTTCTTAAAATCAGGACATATGTAAATTACCATTGAGCAGTAGTTCTTCCAAGTTATCAGGATTCCGAGCAAGCTGCAGAATCAAGGCAGAACCGCGCACCTTATCAGGAATATCTTCATACAATAATTCAATGTACTCATCCATATCATTAATATTGGCGACTTCATCAATCTGAAATATACAAAGAGAGATGTAGGAAATACTAAAGTGAAAAAAAATTATACCTAATGTGTAGCCAAAGGGAGTTTATTTTTTGGCACAAGGCTGTAATTAATACTTCCTTACAACAACAAATTTCTAATGGACTTGTAATGGACCTCTTTTTGTTGTGGAAAGAACTGGACATTTAGGATTGGGGCACCAGGTATAGTAGTTATAAAAACACAAAATATAGAGGGAAGCATATACTCTAAAAATTGGAATTACGATTACTCCAAATGTAAAATATCTAAAACACTGTGCTGAATAATTTGTAGGAACTGCAACAGACTAAAAAGGCCATTCAATAATGTAATTTTATTATAAAGAGAATATTTCAAAACTTTACCCATCTTATCACAAGAAATCATACCATAAATGTCATAGTTAGCATTATTCCTCTTTATCAGTTTAAGAAGCTGGTATTCTTTTTTTCCTAGCAGTAATTGTAGACAAGTTCTTTTTCAGTCTCATTTACAAAAAAAATCCATACTTCACTAATTTGATTGTGGTCATTATTCAAAGAAAAATAACAAGTAGTTATTTAGCTACAATACTTTAAAATCAACATCCTATTAAAGTGTAGTCTTACCTCCATTCCTTCAAAAGGAGGTGGATCTTTAGGCTTGCTAGATTTTTCTTTTTTTTCTGTAACAATAAAAGGCAGAGCAATTATGAGGTTATGAGTATTTATTGATAAAATACTTTCCTATGAACAGATATTAATTCTAGCTTAGTGAGATGTTTTAAATCTGAATAATTTAGGAAAATAAACTGTTATTTTTTTCTTTCCAAAAACCTAGGGATGTGTGTATGTGTATGTGTAATGAACTCATACTTACTTAAAGTAAGCTATGTAAATAAATACAGCTCCCAGAAATCCCTAAATTCATTTTAAGCAGTAATGTAAACTTCCTGTATAGTAGTGATCTTACTTTCTAGTCTCCTGACTAATTAACATTTCAAATGAGAATGAGAAAAGAGAGAAAAAGGCAGACAAAGGAAGATAAAGAGGTGAAGCAGAGATTATACAATTCACACCAAAGAAAACCAGACCTTGAATGATTAAGAAGCAGTCTTGCTGCAAATATAGATTAAGTTGATATAAAAAAAGGTAAATGCTTATAGTTGGCAGTATTTTCCCTTCCCTTGGCACCTAAAACAACAAAGTGAGACTGATGAACATATGTCACAATCTGGAAACATAGGAAAATTTTTGATGAATACAATTTTACTTTATAATTCTCAAATATTCTAATGGATTGGTGATCTCATCATTATGTACCAAGGACGCAAGTTGAAGCCCAACTTTGGCAAATTTTGTCCATGATCCTCTATCAAAAGAAGACTGCCAAATATCCTGAGTGTCTTCACACAAAAACAGGATCATAGATATAGGACCTCAGAGGTTATCTAGTTCAAAACCTTCACTCTTTATGGAAGAAAATAAAGGCCCCAAGAGGTTAAGTGACTCACAAGGTCATTCCTTCATACATTCTCTTGACATTAGATAAATACCACTAGAGCACACAGATACCAATGTCATCCCTCATTCTTGCCTAATTTTGTCACCTAATTTTAAAAAATGGAGATTCATTAATCCTCTCCTTTTGTAGTTTGTTAATAAATATTTTTAGGGATATAATTTCCCCCTGAGGACTGCTTTAACTGAATTCAAGAAATTTTAGTATGTGACTTTGTTATTATAATTTTCTTTCATATAATAATTATTTCTAAGATTTGTTGGTTGACCCACTCATTATTTAAGATTTTGCTTTTAAGTTTCCATTTGGGTCTATATTGTACTCCCTGTACCGATTAATATTTTTAGTGCCTTATAGTCTGTAAAAGATGTATCAACCATTTTTACCTTTCAACATTTATTTGCAACATTTGTGTGACCTAATATAGGATTAATCTTTCTAAATATTCCATGTGGTATTAAGAAATATGTATATTCTTTATAATTTCTGCTTATAACATGCCTTAAGTGTTTTGGCTCTAATTTCTCCAGCAATTTTTTTTTCAATTTTGCCACTATTGTATTCTTGTCTATGTCTTTTGTTAATTCAATTAATTTCACCTTTATGAATTTAGTTGCTAAGGCATTTGGAGTATGTAAGTTTAATATGACATTGGCATGTTTAGGTTTCATTTCAGGATAGCATAACTCTCCTTGTTTGTCTCTTTTTATGTTGTAAATTTCTGTTTTTGCTTTGTCTGACATGATCACAACTCTTGTTTTTTGGATTCACATAATGCACAGCAAATTTGTTCCTGACCATCATTTTTATTCTGGATGTCTTTGCCTTTTAATTGTGTTTCCTATAAGCAAAAGATTGTGGTGTTTATTTTCCTGTTCGACCTATTGCTCTCTTTTATTTTACTGGATTGTTTAATCCATTCACATTTAAAGTTATGAGTTAGATTTATATTTAATTTTCCTCCATTTATCTCTAATATTGCTTTTCTTTAGAATTAAGATTTGCTGTCATTATTGTTTCTTTCTCTCTTTAAAGATAGTTCCTTGTCTCTAGTTATCTTTCCTCAATCTATTTTACAGTAACTGTATTCCCACAGGTTCTCTTCCCCTCATCCATCTTATCTCCCTCTCCTATTTCTCATTCCTTTCCTCAGTTCCACCTGCCTTTTGATAAGGCAGCATTCTTTAATCTCCCACAATCATTCTACCTAAGATTTTACAAACAAGTTTATTTCCTAAAGGAACATTGCCCTAGGCTTCCATATCTCTCTGCTTATGATGAATTAAAGTTATTTGCTGAATAACTCAATTTTAAACAAAATGTTCAGACTATCTACCCTGAGAACACATCAGTATTGACTGAACCATACTGCCTATTCTATCTATATAAAATTATTTTATGAGAAATTCCACACATTTGCAGACACTCGTTCTCATTATGGAAACTGACTGATATCAATTGAACTTTGTATGAAATTGTCATAATCACTATCAATGTCCTTTTTTCTGCCCATTTCCCATTTTTTGGTTAAAATAACCAAAATAACTATTTGGTTAAATAGGTCATGCTGGTTGGTATTGTTTTAGTTGAAAACCTTATCTTTTCTCAACTTTATTCTTCTAGCTATGTATTTAGACTTTCACACTAACAAGTAGGTGGCTTGACAACACAGCTGATTCATGAATGGCTTCCACATCAATAACATCAATTTTTATTTTTGTAACGTTATTCAGTGCTCACCATATATATCATTTCCAAGTCTTTTCTTGTGTCAGGCACTGTGCAAAGTGCTTTATAATAATTACAACTAATTTATTTGATCTTCACAATAACCTTAGGAGTTAAGTGCTATTATTATCCCCATTTTATTGATGAGGGAACTGAAGCAAGCAGAGGTTAAGTGACTTGCTCAGGGCCATACAGCTAGTAAGTATATGAGGTCAAACCTGAACACAGGTCTTCCTGACTCCAGGCCCAGGACTCTATGCACCATGACCTCACATAGCTACCCCTACAATAATTTCTTGAAAAAAAGTATTCATTTTTTATAGGCTTAACATTTCTGTTTAGTCTGGAAGTCTTTGGCTTCACTCATTCCTTATGCTGGAAGGTTTTAGATCAATTAACTACACATCGATGTAACTTATTAGGCCTTATCAAGTTCTTCATATAATTTATCTACCTTTTCACCTCCTGTAACAATGCATATAAACTATAATTATTTTCATGCTGTTCTTTTTACTATACTATGAGATAATGCATGAAATGATGTGTTCTTGTCGCCTATGCACACGTAATAAAAACTGCTATCTCCTTTATTTTCTTCTTCAAGGAGAACTTGAGAAATACTCTTCTATTTACCTGTAACTTCCTTCTCTTGGTTTTATTTATAGTGAATAAACCAAGACTAATAAAATTCTGTTCATTCACTAGTGAACAAGGTTCTCACAGGTAGAATACAAACAGTTAATATTTATAGGTGATCGAAGGAATGTGTGATTCTTAGCCTCCTCTGCCCCCTTTTTATTCTATAGTCAGTGAAAAAACAGATGGGAGTCACAGAGAACTGAGGACCATTTTGTATTTTTCTTTGCTTCATGTTGCCATGAATAAAAAATTCATCACCAAGTCATTAATCTATGGCTGCCTAGCTTCTCTGAACATAACTAGGCTGGTCCTCAAAAAGTCTATCCAATCTGCTGGCAGTATCATACCTGAATCCTTCCTACTATGGCATAACCTGCCAGATCTTGGACTATCTTGGCATAGCCTTCAATAATCCAGTCACTTCTATGCAACAGAGATAACAGAATAGGACTTTGTGAATGTTCCAATAAAATTTGGGAGGTACATGAGTTCAGGAGGATTAGCTCCTCCAGTATGAGGACTTGCCAAGTCTTTCTCAGGATACTTATCCACCTTTGGTGTCCACCTTCACCCAACTCTCACCTGTGGCTCCAAGAAGCTGTACCATGTGCAATGGTCACACCCTGGTAAACTGTCTCAGCAGACAGGCTAAACCAGGTTGAGGGTAACCAATGGGCCTCAAACTTGTATGTGATTTAGGGGGATGTCTACTCTAAGCATGTGAAGACATTTTCCAGCAGAATGGGTTAATGACAACAATTTGTTCCAATGGCCACGAAGGTGGTTGAAGCAGGTGTTGTGGAGCACTTAGAGCTTGGACAGGTATCAAAGATGCCAAGATCATCCACTGCATCCTGGGCCAATGCCAGTCATCTTGACTTTTGTTTTGCCAATGGACTTCAGTGACTCGGGAAGAAAGAGTGAGGCTGATGATTTTATGCAACTCTGCCTCACTTAAATCCAATTCACGCACAAGTCAAGACATCACCTGTGATGTCACTTGTCCTCTTCAAAAATGAAGTATGAACAACAATAAAAATTTCAAAATGCATTTTATATTTATTAAACAAATATAATGATCTATGGTAAATCTATTGATCCATTCTTCACCTGTTTTTCTACCATTTTCAGACTTTTTATACCATAGTAATTAATATTGTAAGTCATCATGCACCATAGTTTGGATTCACATTTATTCAGAAGAATTATAAATCTTTCATCTTTAGTATATTAACAAATTCTGTTGGTAATGCCTGAATAATTTTTTTTTACCACAAGCTAAATTACTAAGTACTTTTTAAAAAATACTACATATTGAGTCACATTAGTTTACAGCTTGGCTCACAGAATCCATCAACTTTCAGATGTGCCTAATTCTAAAATTCACAAGTTTAGAATGTAAAAAAATTTTAAAATATGTTAACACAGGCTACAATAGAAGCAATTAAAGTAGTTAATTCTACTACAGTAATCAAGTCCAGTTATAAGTGCTTCAGACACTTCAGTAATTTGTGGAGCCTTATACATGTCATCCTTACCCAAACATCTCTGAGGAAACCATGAAACATTCAAAGCTTGGAAACAAACTGAGAAAACTGCTGCTACAGCCACACTTTAAAATAGTTCATGGAGTTGTAGAGATAAACATTGTGCTAACTATAAATTCCCCACATCCATTCCTCTGTTATTTTGAAATAAGGTGATTAGACTATATTTGCCTTGGCAGAGCATTATTAGAGAAATTCTACCTTTCCCCTAGTCAAGGGCAGCTGCAAGTCTCGTAACGAAGAGAACAGTAAATGAAGTAAAAGAAGTTAAAGTCCCCATCCATAAATTCCAGTTCAACTCAAAATTTAAGTAATTAATCTAGGAACATAGGTCAATTTAAAGCTAAATTATAAATCCACTAATTTTCTTTTTTTTTGTTTTTCTTTTTTCTTTTTTTTTTTTCTTTTGGCAAGGCAATTGGGGTTAAGTGACTTGCCCAGGGTCACACAGCTAGTGAGTGTTATGTGTCTGAGGTAAATTTGAACTCAGGTCCTCCTGACCCTGGTGCTGATGTTCTATCCACTGTGCCACCTAGCTGCCCCCTTAAATCCACTAATTTTCAAGAAGTATCTCTAATACATTTATATTCTGGCATTGGCTTCATTTTAGCAAATTCTAGCTTTTAGGAATACCTTAGTGTTCTTGCACTGAATGATAAGAATACATTTTAGGATGTGAATGAGTACTGACTCATATTTGGTGTTTCTACACTAAGATAAATTATAGCAGTAGTATTGAAATTATGATTCTTTATAGCTCTTTATAAATTACTACTAAGACAGATGCCACTAGGTGGCACCTTAGTGTATAGAGCGCTGGGCTTGCAGTCAGGAAGATCTGAGTTCAAATGTGACCTCAGACACTTACTAACTTACTAGCTGTTCAACCCTGGGTATGTCATTTCGCCTCTGTTTGCCTCAGTTTCCACAACTGTAAAATGGGGATAAAAATAGCACTTACCTCATAGCATTGTGAAGATCAAATGAGGTAACATTTGTAAAGTGCTTGCATAGTGACACATAGTAGGCACTATATAAAAACTAGCTGTTATTATTATTTTTGTTATTATTAAAACTTTCATCACTTTGAAAGAGGTAGGGTATCTGCTATCAGTCACTATCATTGCTTTCATTAAGATTACTTTGACAGAAGGAGGGTATATGCATTTCTGGATATGTACATCAGAAACTTTCCCATCAGCTAAATTACAACAATAAAATTTTATTACAGTAATAAAATTTTATGAACAAATGAATATTTTGTCATGATGCTAGAATTACTTGAGTAATAAAAAATTAATAAAGGGAAAGAAGGTTGAAAGGTCACAATATAAAATATTATATATCTATATTTAGCAACTTTTAAAACTAAGTTTCATGTGTTTGAAGTTGACAAAAAACAACACAAGTATAATTATCAAGAGAAATAAAATCTTTTTTATATGAAATATATTTCACACTTATCATAATGAAACATTTTTGGCATGCCGGCGAATATTAAAATACCACATCCAAAGAAGCAATGTTTTGATCTGTGCTATTTGATCCCCTTTACCATGAAATGCGTGGAATTTCTTTATGTCTTCTGTGTCCGTCCACACTCTCTCTCCTCTCAGCCTCTACCTTATACATGCTTTTACTGAATATTTTCTAGAAGCTGTATTGATCCTAATTATATCTCTCGTAAAACAGGTTCTGTCTGTAGGAAGTACTAAGGAGAGACAGAAGAACTTGGAAACAGGAACCTGAGACAATAAAATAAGTATCCCATATATTCAAAACTCTTCTGCCTTGCTCTTGAATTTCTTCTTATCTTATGTACATTTCTACCCAACAGTCTCCATCACTTCAGTTTCTTCATTCTTAAAACCACCACATGCTAAAGGCCATTATGTAAGGAGAAAATACAAGTAAAAGATGGGCAGTTCTGAGCTCAAAGTTTCAATCCTATCATTGCACTGATCTGCAGGTATTGTGATAGAGCTGACATTTCACTGATGGGGAAACTGGCACAGAAAGATGAATGGATGAATTATTTGTTCAATTCAAATATGACTCTGAAGATTCAGAATGACAAATATTTTATAAATGGTCAAACTAATATTTAATTGTAGAGGCCTTATTTTGCAAGGTCTGAAAGTGATAAAATAGAACAATTAAAGTTGTTATACTGTTTTTTTATTATCCTGCTCCCTGAATATCATCTTGACTTAAAACACATACACAATTTATATGTCTGTAATATTACTTTAAAATGGTTTTCTGCAATGGCATGAGAAGTGAATTTGCCCTGGATTCAAAGTAAAAATGTTCTAATTAGTTGTTAAAAACACATTGTTAAGAAAACTTTCATAATCATAATATGACACTAAAGATATTCAGTATTAACAGGAGATATACAGAACACCTCCTTTCCCACCCCCACCAATACACATTCAAGCACAGAAACAAAAAATAATCTGTATGGTCTTTTAAATTTTACTATCTATATACAAAAAGAGGTGGCTGTTACCACAGCATAGAAAGATACTTTAGCAGGAATGTTATTTTAGCATGAACAAATATTTCAGAAAGAGAATTTCCGATGAAAAAACAACCAAAAATGATATTTTACATGTGCATATAATCCCAATAATTAAAAACAAATTTTTAGAAATAAAATAACTGACACACCAAATATTCTGACTACCAAATGAAATGTGCCAAGGGTCATTATTTTAAGCATGTTGTGAATGATGCTATCAGTCAAGGGACAAAGCATATATTAAGCAGCGAGAACTTTTATTTTAAAAGGGTGGGGGTGGAGCTAGAATGTTTCATTGGAAAGTCAGCTTATCAAAGATTTAAAAAATTTTTTGAATGTAATAAAAATGAAGTCTGAACATTTATAAATCCTATTAATTTCTACCATGCCTAGAAATATATATTAAATAATGGAACAGTCATGAGTTTAGTTGATTACAGTGTGAAATAGTACAACCTACTAATAATCAACACGAGGTGACAGACCATTAATATGTTTGTGACCTTTTAAATAACGAAAGACTAAAGTACAAAAAATCATGGATTGGGCTATTTTGAAATATATACTCTGAAATATTTATTTGTTAGGGTCTTTCTTCACTGTTTTTTGTTTGGGGAGGAGGTTAAGGGTGATGGAACAGTAGAGACAAAGGACAACAGTTTGTACTTTTCTGAACAACATTTAAAAAATAATTTCTTTGACAATCTCTGAAATAATAGATATAAGTATTATAAAACAAGGTTTTAAAATTGTAAATCATCTGTAAATTTTAAAATAGTGACCAATATTAAATTTGGCACATCTACTTAGAGTACAGAAAGTGAATTTTGTTCTAAATTTGTTCAAATATTGTCCTAAAATTCTTTCCATTAATTATTCCTGAATCAAAATGACATGCAATTTCCTATTATGTTTCTGTATATACAACAAAATAGTAAAATCTAGGAAAAAACAAATTATGAAAGATCAATAGAGGAGCCTTGCAGTCCTGCTCCTCTGGCCTTGAACACTGGTCAGAGACTATTCTGCTTACCTTTCCCTGACAAAGCATCACGCCGGTTCTGTAAGTAATATAACAGCTGTTCCACCTCATTTAGTTTTGAGGGATGAATGAGTTTACACTCTTCAACCACTTTCCGAGCCAAGGAAGTGATATCAGTATTAGCATTGAGACTTTTCAGACGAATTCTGTAAGAAAGAATTTTTCAATTCAGATATCATGACAGTAAGCAATATGTTAACATATATATAAACATTTATATAAATATATAGTTATTTGCATGTATATACACATTTATAAGTTTGTTTATATATATACATATATATTTTTCACATGCTTCCAATGAATACACAAGTTGAAAGCATTAAAATCTAGCTATCCATGAGATGTATTGGAAGAAATTGCAATGAAATATCAAATACAACTTGGACAATATGGAATGAAAAAGAACACCAATGGTCAGTAATAGTCTTAGTGAATAATCTTGTTTCTTTAAAGCTAGGCTACCTTCTCTGAGGAGAAAGTAGCTGAAAATAAGCAGAAGAGCCTTTAGGAGAATAAAAAATAACTCAGAAGTCCACATTTGAAAAAGGATTTAAGAGGTAAAACATATTTCAATAGATCAGCAATCTCATTAATGGGGGTATTCTCTCCAATGGTGCAGATCTCATATTTTCTCATCACATGCAGTTCTTATGCATGTTTTCCCATAAATGCTCTACAGAGGATTCTCCCAAGGTGCTAGGGCTTTATGCTAGATTTCCTGTCATTACCGGAGTACCAATGCAGTACCTGAGGTGATAGTCTGTTACCCCTTGCTCTTGATGTATGCAAACCAGACTATCTCCTTTTCATCTCAGATATTTCTTTATTTCAATTCAATTCAATGAAAGCATATTTATTAGGTGCCTACTACATGCCATGCACTGCGTTAAGCACCAGGGATACAAAGACAAAAATGAAACTGTTTCTATAACCAAGGAGATAATATTCTACCTAATTTTTATGACAGTTTTTATATCATCTGGTGTAAGCAATTCATAAATGTTAATATGCTGGAATCTGTTAAAATCATCATGCTTTTTTTCTACTGTGCTTTGAGTAACCTGTAACTCTGATTCCCAGATACTGTGATATTCCATGATGTAGCCATACAGAATACCAGAGAAAAATATGATGGTAAAAAGATGGGATTTTGTTTCAGAGAAAAGCCACGAATCACTGAAAGCAAAGATAATTTCCCAAATGCAATCCAGCCTACTTTCTTCTTCCTATTCAGTTCTGGGCTTTCAGCATTCAGTCTCTCCTCTTTTCAATCTATTATCTTACATTCGGCTGCCAAAATAATCTTTCCAAACATAAATCCAACCATAACGTCACCCCCGTCTCAAGAAGCTTCAACAGCCCTCTCCGGCCTCTAGAATAAAATAAAAATGCCTCAGTTTGGAATTTAAAGCCATTCGCACGCTCACTACAGATCACCTTTACAGGTTTAGTACACAGTACTCACTTTCATGCACTCTACATTCCAGCCACATTAGCCTGCTAGCTGTCACCTGAACTTGACCTATCTCCTGACTGTGCACTGGCTATCCGGTGCCTGGAATGCCTTCCTATCTCACCCCAACCTGTTAGGACTCCTATGTTTCACAGGATCAGCTCATAGGCTACTTCCTATATGAAGTCCTCCCTGATTCTTGGTTGTTCGTACTCTCTCTTCCTCAAATGATCACATATGTATGAATATATATTGATATGGATACACACTCATAAAACATGCATGATATCTACACACTTGTTAGGCTTATTTTTTTATATGTGCTATCTCCCTACCCCAACAGTAGAACGCAAGTTCCTTGAGGGCAGGGGCTGGTTTGCTTGTTTTGTCTCTATATCCCCAGCATCTAATATAATTGCTTCTAACGTACAGTGGGGAATGAATACTGGCTCTGCAATCAGAGAAACTGTGTTCAAATCCTGACTCTGTCACTTTCTACCTATGTAAACTTGAGAAAGTTCTTTAACTCTAGGTCTCAGTCTCCTCATCTGCAAATGAGGAGATTGGACCAGATGACCTCTGAGATACCTTCCGGTGACTCACTTTGGAAGATCGCCACTCCCTTCCCTGGCCTCCCCCCTACATCCATGTCCTCTATTTTGAAGAGGTGCCCAGGCCAAATTCATATTCCCTTCTTTACTCTTCTCCAGGCTGACTTTCTCCCTCACCCACAACTTTTCAGCTCTTTTTTATGTGCTTAAACATATTAGAATTTAAACTCCTTGAGGGCATGGACTGTCTTTCTTTTTCTTTACATGTGGTAGGTATTCCAAGTAGTTAGCACAATGCCTGGCACATGATAAGGGCTTCATAAATGTTTGTGGACTTCCAACTCAGGACAGACTCTTTAGATGAGCTAGACACCTTGCTTTGGTCATTAGGCCTTGCTGAAAAATGCCTACAGTAACTGTTCTCTGGAGTTCATCTGGTACTGACTATTATTTATCAAGATGAAAAAGCATAAAAAGAAAGTTATCGTAATTAATGATGGCAATCAATATCAACTCCAGTACATATATTGTCACCAACAAAATTCTGTTCAAATTTGAAAAGTAGTAAGTTGTGAGTATTTATAAAATGCTTAATACTAAGAACATGTATACAAACCTGAATAAAACTCACATTTTTTGACATTCCTTCCGTTCTCCCAGCATGGGATCCCCCATTTCTCCAAGAATGGTAGCTTCCACTTCATATTGAACAATAAGTGCCTTTTCTGATGGATGCACATCAATATTTCCTCCTTTAACCTTCCTAAAAAGTTAAATTAATATGTCATTACTGTTATAAATCACACAAAATTTTCCTGTTCATTATCTGGTAGGACAATTGTATATACACATGGGATACACATGGGTTAGGTTAACACATCTATTCAGTTCCCATTCCATGGAGTTAAATTCTATTTCACGGAATAATGAGTCACCTGTACATGAAGCCTGTCCTGGTTACCCCCAACTTCTAGAAGGGTGAGCATGCTAAGATTAGGCTACATTAGAAAAACAGTATGATATAGGAGAGTTCTAGATTTGAATCCTGAAATACCTGGGTTCAAATCTCACCCTTGACACTTACTAGCTCTATGACCTTGAGCACATAACCTAATCTCTCCAAGCCTAGGTTTCCTCATATTTAATACCTTGGACTAGAAGGCCTCTAAGGTCCGTTACAGTTCTACACGTATGATCTTCTTATTTATTTGGTATTTATCCTGTGGATACTTTTGTGTGTTAAGTATATGTGGAAGCTATTTCCTCAGATGGAACATAAGCTTTTAGAGAGTAGGAATTATTTCATTCTTTGTATTTGTATCCATATTACCCAGCACACTAACACATCAAAAAAGCTTAATGATTTTTTCTTTTCCTTCTCCAATCTAACAGACATATGTGGAACTCTTGTTCTTCCAAGCAGTGTGAGAAAAAAGGCATGGGGAGGGTACATGTAGTATTATGAATGAAGAACAGAGATAATGCCAATTTGCCTGAATCATAAAGTGCAGAAGGGGAAGCCTCCAGTGAGGCTAGGAAGGGAGGCTGGGGCCAGGAATGTAGGGTTTTAACACCAAACACAGGAATTTACATTTTATTCTAAGATAACAGGAAGCCACTGGAGTTGATAGAGTTGAATTAATTTTGTTAATGCAAAAGCCTGTCTACTTGATGCAAGTGAAATCATTCATTTTATATGCTGTGATCTCCACTATCACTGGTTAAAAATTCTACCCCTTGCCATACTTATGAAAGATATCTGATCTTGTTCTCATCCAATTATTTATATTCAGTTCACATACTCATTTGGAGTTTACTGTGTAATTTGTATTAGCTATTAGTCTAAATCTAATTTCTGGAGATTGCTTTCTAGGTTCTCCTCATGTTACATGTTATGTCATTCAGCTGTTTCAGGTCCTGCTGGACTCTTCATGACCCCATTTGGGATTTTCTTGGCAAACATACTGGATTGCCATTTCCTTCTCCAGTTCATTTTACAGACAGGAAACTGAGGCAAACAGGGTTGAGTGACTTGCCCAGGGTCACAAAGCTAAAAAAATGTGTGAGCCCAGATCTGAACTCAGGAAAATGAGTTTTCCTGACTCCAGCCCCAGCCCTCTATCCTGTAATTCTTATCAAATAGGGAGCTCTTCTCCAAGTAATTTTTGCTTTCAAATTTCAAATTATTGAATAATGGATTGTCCAGTTCACTTGCTTTTAATTCTTCCTTGTCTAGTCTGTCCAACTTTTGTAGTTTTCTAATTTTTAATCAATGATTCCGAATACTACTTTAAAATATAATTTGAGGTCTGAAAATGGTATTATTCCCTTTCCAATTCTCTCTTTTTTTATATTCTAGATCTTTTGTTAAATTTTATTGAACTTTCTAAAGAATCTTCTTGGTAGTTTTATTAGGATGGCACTAAAGCTACAAATTAATCTAAGTAGCATTTTCATTTTTGTTATTTGTGTTGGTCTCACTACAAGAACTGATTATTCCCTTCAGTTACATGTCAGTTCTTTATCTCTTGATCTACTGGTGCATTGGTAGAATTATTCTTAGATATTTTATGCACTTTGCTGTTATTTTGAAGGAGGCTTCTCTTTCTATTACCATCACTCCTCTGGGCTTTGTATTTATAAAGTAGAAATGCTACTGAAGTTTTTTTTGGGGGAAGGGGTGATTTAATTAGCTACTTTAATAAAGCTATAATCTCAATTAATTTGTGGATTGGCTACCATTTCCTAAGAAAATTATCACACCATCAGCAACTATTAAAGCTATTGTCTCAATTAATTTATTTGCTAATTGGCTAGGATTTCCTAAGTAAATTATTACACCATCAGCAACTATGGATAGTTTTGTTTCCTCTTTGCCTATGTTTATCTTCAATGTCTTTCTCTTGTCTTACTGCTAATACTAGCATTTCTAAACCATATCGAAAGCAAGGAAAAGTTGCATCTTTTTCTTCATCCATTTATTTGGAAAAGCTTTTAATGTTTCCCTAGTGTATATAATGCTAGCTTTTGATTTTAAGATATTCTTTACCATATTTTTAAAAAGTACTTCCATGTCTATGCATGATGACAACACCATGCTCTCAGTACCTCAAGCTCACCACCTACCACCTAGGAGTCAGCTTCAACTTCTCATTATCTATCATCCCCTCCCAACCCCCACATCCAATCTGTTGTCAAGACCTGTCAATTTCACCTCCACAACATCACTCCAGTATACTTCCTTCTCTCCTCTGATACTGCCAGCACTTCAGCACAGGCCCTCAATCACCTCACAGCTAGACTATTGCAGTAGCCTACTGGTAGGTCTACCTGCCTCAAGCCTCTCCCTGTTCCAATCCGTTTTCCATTTAACCACCAAAGTGATTTTCCTTAAGCGTGGGTCTGACCATGTCATCACCCTCTTCAATAAACTCCAGTGCTCCCCATCACCTCTAGGATCAAATATGACATCCTCTCTTTGGTGTTCAAGGCCCTTCATAATCTTCCCACCACCCCTACCCTCCTTCCAGTCTTTTTATAACTAAAAATTAGATTTAGACTAATAGCTAATACAAATTACACAGTAAACTCCAAATGAGTATGTGAACTGAATATAAATAATTGGATGAGAACAAGATCAGATACCTTTCATAAGTATGGCAAGGGGCAGAATTTTTTCCCTGCTGTCTCTTCGATTCAGTGGCACTGGTTTCCTGGTTGTCCCCAGAACAAGACACTCTATCACTTGCCTCTGGACATTTTCCTTGGTTGTCCCCTTTGAATGTTCTCCCTTCTCATCACTGCCTCCTGGCCTACTTGGCTTCCCTCAAGTCCCAAGTAATATACCATCTTCTACAGAAAGCCTTTCCTAACTCTTCTTAATTCTAATGCATTCTCTCTTTATTTCCTATTTATCCTGTATATAACATAGCTTGCTTGTACAGACAATCTTCATCATTCATGAACTTTTGCGACTTCAAGTATTAGCATGATTTTATTAGGAACCTCATTTTCACTTTCATGTTGACAATAGTATACATTCACAGCTATGCTCAGTAGAGAAAAAAATGAAAGATGCAATTCATGCAAGTTTGTGGAGTAGCTGGTATCCTACTAGGCATTTCACTGGTCTGGTTCCCACTACCCTCGTAAAAGAGCTGCTTGTGCATCTATTGTTTGCAGTTTTATTGTTTGTCTTTAAAACTCAAGTTTTATGTTGGAATTATGCCTCCAAAGCATAGTGCAAGTTCTTTGGGCTCTAAGGTGATATCGAGATAGCAGTGACTAAAGTCTCATTTTGACTTTATCTCAGTTTATGCCTAGTTTCTGCCAAATTGCTTTCCAGTTTTCCCTGCAACTTTCATCAAATAGTGACTTCTTGTCCCCAAATCTTGGATCTTTGGGTTTGTCAAACACTAGATTACTATGGTCATTTACTACTGTGTACTGTGTAGCTAATATAACATTCTATTTCTTAGTCAGTATGAGATTTGATAATTACTGCTTTAAAATACAGTTTGAGATCTAGAACTGCTAAGCTACCCTCCTTGATGTTTTTAAAAAAACTGATTCTCTTGATCCTTAGGATGTGGGGCAAAGCAGATAGCAATGCCTTTTCTCTAATGTCATTTCTCATGATAAAATCATCCCAGTTCCTTTTGTTTGATGAACAAACTTCTTTATGTGTTGCCTCACTCATTAGATTGTGAACTCCTGGAGAATAGTTCCTATCTTACTTTTCTATCTGCATCCCTAGTGCTTAGAATAATGATTAAACATAGTTAAGACTTTAATAAATGCTTTACTTATTTATTTATTCTTATGCTTTCTGGCATTTCTTTTTAAACAAACAAGTGTTAGATTTTTAAAAAAGTTTTTTCTACATTTGTTTATATGATCATATGATTTCTATTATTCTATTAATTACTTTATTAATATGATCTATTGTGTTTATAGTTTTCCTAATACTTAATCAACCCTGCATTCCTGTTTTAAATCCAATCTAATAGTAGTACGTGGTTTTTTTAGATGCTGCTATGACTACTTTGCTATTATTTCAATTATATTCTAATTATATTCAATCTTTGTGTCAATATTGATTAGGGATACTGGTCTATAATTAGTTATATTTCTCTGTTTTGACTCTCCCTGGTTTAGGTATCAAGGTGCATTTTTATCACAGAAGGAATTTGGTAGGATTCCATTTTTTCTTATTTTTATAAATAGTTTATATAATAATGGAATTGTTCTTTAAATGTTTGATAGAAATTTCTTATAAATCCATCTCTTCTGCAGTTTTATTTTTCTTCAGAAATTCATTTATAACTTCTTCAATTTCTTTTTCTAATGTTGGGTTACTTAAAAACTATTTCTTCTTCTGTTAATCTGGATATTTTACTTTTCCATAAATATTCATTTATGTTGTCAGTTTTATTGACATGTAGTTGGGTAAAATAGTTTGTAATAATTTCCTTCTCTTTTTTCTTCACAATCTGGTCCTTTCCTATATTTCCAGTTTTCTTACCCCTTACTCTGTACCACAAACTCTTTGTTGACAGTGGCCTCCTTTGCTGTTCCTAACATAAAACATACCATCTCTTGACTCCATACATTTTTACTGTCCCTGGAATGCTCTCTCTCATCTCCATCTCCTGGATTCACTGCCTTCCTTCAGGTCTCAGTGAAAATCCCACCCTCTGCACAAAGCCTTTTCCATTCTAATGCCTGCCCTCTGAGATTATATTCAATTTATTCTATATATTT